TCTAAATTAAAAGTAACCATGATCTTTTCTTTGGAATAAACTTATACTTCACTAAATGATTAATGACATGAATAACAGACAAAATTCTAGCACCAAAGTTAACACTGACATCATCTACCACAATCTCTTCCTATAGATCAAAAGTTGAGTTTTAAGCAGGTTGATTTACTTACTTTTGTTGAAAGCAAGTCCAAAGAAAGAAAAGAGGTGTGTGGTGGGTCCTTTAGTGTTCCTAAGAGCTTATCCTCCAACCCAGCCAGGAGGACCTACAAAAAGCTAACTCTTCATTTGCCTAAGGCCCCTTTAGGGTATCTTGTCTTCCTTTACACCTAGCAGTATTCTATATCCTTACATCTTATAGGGGCCTTACACCTTATATTAAAATAGGTACTCTATCTATATTTATATTTCAGATACTGGCTTTGCCTTCCTTCTAGATTTTGTTACTAAAAACAGATGCTATATCCTGTACAGATTGGGTTCTCTAGAACCCAACAGAATTCTGTCAAGGAGTGACTGATAATTATGAGTCTAATGCCCCTAGAAGACACGAGAAGACTGTTTTCAATTTATGTTACATTTCCAGATGCTAAAAAAACTGAACTAAGTTTTTCTGATGCTATGTGCCTACATCAAGGATTGGTATCTCAGATAAAATATTTTGACAGTTAACATGAAAAGAAAGGCAGCATTTTTTTCCCGAAGGATGTAATTATTCTTTCTGCTGATGTGGGTGGTACCAAACAATATAATTTGTGGGGTATTTTTGTTGTTGCTGTTTGTTACTGGGACTCTAACTCAGAACCTTACACTTGCCAGGCTGGTGCTGTGCCATTGAGCTATATCCCCCACAGCAACACTATTCTTCTAATTTTTTTTTAAATCATTTATTTATTTATTTACTTGGTACAGGGTATCATTACCCAGGTCAGGCTCCTAGTGATCCTCCTGTCTCTGCCTCCCCAGCACTGGGATACAGGCAAGTGCCACTAGGCTCACAGTGATCTTCCTATCTCTGCCTCCCTAGCACTGGAATTATAGGCATGTGCCAGCATGCCAAGGTTTGGTGGCTGGCACAGCATGCCTGGAGTTCCAGGGCCTGGCATCAGTGGGCATGGTACACTTTTTGTGTGTGATACCAGGGATCAAACCCAGATCCTTGTTGGACAAACACTTAGACCACCGAGCTATTTCCCCAGCCCAGCAACACTATTCTTAACCTTAGTCATGTTAACATCTATCTCAGTGGAACAATGTAAATCACTTAGCACAAACAAATTGTATCTACTGGGAAAGCAACCTGTTACCAACAGGTGTACACAATAATTGAGTCATATGGATAACTTCAGTGGACTTTCAGCATCACTGCCAACTGAGCCCTCTTAACATACTGTGCACTAAAAAAAAGTAAAAACATAAGTCTGCTAAACTATTTCAATTAACAACTAATTTTCTCTTCATTTAAGGTCCCTATGAGTTTCAAACTGACAGACAAAACAGAAAGAGACAGAGAAGAAAGGAAAGAGAGAGCCACTGATGCAAGTTCTGGTGAAGAATGCTTTCTGCGGAGGGCTGGCAAGATAGCTCAGCAGACTAAGCGCCTGCTTAGGCAAGCACAGGGATTGTGGTTCAATCCTTGGCACCACATGCTACACTGGCCCGGCTCCCACCCTCAGGTGTGCTGAGCAGGTGACCGAGTCCAGGTGTGGTGGTGCACACCTGTAATTCCTGCACGGGGGAGGCTGAAAACAGGAGAATCACTACAAGTCTGAGCTATGTAATGAGACCCTCCACAAAATACATAAAATATAAATAAACAAATAATTTTTTTTAAAAAATGTATGCTTTCTACAGCAATATTTTAAAAATTCTTTATGGTCTTTTTGAGACAGGGTTTTACTATGCAGATCACGCTAGCCTTGAACTTGCTTTGTAGCTCAGGCTGGTATCAAACTTGCAGTGATCCTCCTGCATCAGCCTCCCAAGTGTTAGATTACAGGAAGTACCACTATGCCTGGCAGAAGTTTTAAATTTTAACACTAATAAAATTTACTTTTGGGCAGGAGAGATAGCTCATTGGCTTAAGTGCCTGTCTGGAAAGTACAAGGTACCAAGTTTGACCCTGGTGAAAAAAAAAAAAAAAATTACTTTTATAAGATGAATACCAGTCAATTAAATACACACATATACATATTACATAATATGCTATGTAATATATGTATCTATAATATATATACATATAGAACATAAACAAAATCTTGGCATTTAATGCTTCACATGTAGGACAACTGAAGGAGCAGACAGAAGTCCAAATAAACTGCAAAACAGTGCTGATGTGGTAGGTGGCAAAAATATTGACTGCAAACCACTTAGAATCTAAGTGCAAGCAAAACAGGATGCCAAGATTTTAATTTTTAAAAATCCCAGTTAGCCAGGGAGATGGCTCAGTAGAATAAGCGCTTCCCTGGCAAGCACAAGAGTCTGAGTTCAATCCCCGGTTCTGCCAAAACAAAAACATTCAAAATCCTTTATGTGTTAATTATTGAATCTGTCCTACCAATTTGATTTGAAACTGTCTCACTGCTATTTGTTTATAAAATTATGGAAAGAAAAAAAATAAATAAAGGGAGGCGATTGACCCCATATCACAGTCCTGCCTTTTCGCTACCCTCTACTGGACACTACAATTGAATATATTTATCTGTACTCCTCAAAAAAAAAAAAAAAAAAAAAAAAAAAAAAAAAAGCCCAGGTAAAATGTGACCTAAATTCCATTTTCCCCTGGAAATAAAAAATTACAAGGGGTAGCAGAAATAAGTTTGAATTCTTCCCCTCCCACTTCAAATACTGTATAAAACCCTCTGAAAGACCAACACTGAGTAACATTTGAAATCATTCATTTGCTTTCTGTAAGCAATAAAAGTTCCCAACCCCTAAACTTACACTAAACTCAAAACACCCAGAGGATCTTCAATCTTCAGATATAGTTACAGATTTACTATATGAGAAATCTAAGCTTCTGCCTACATTTCTTTCCCAAGAAATGGCCTTACTACTTTTACTTCTCAAGTAATTGTGGCCTATGTCCCAAAAGAGAAGAAGCTTGCACTGCACTCCTTCCAACTCAGTAAACTTTAACCATCGTGAGCCACCAGAACCACACCTGCAGGCAGCCAGTCACATCTCTACAAGTATCTAGAAATTCAGGGAGAGAAGACCAAGTTAATACTTTGGTTAGGAGGAATATTACCTGGGTAAAAGATTTACATGCCCAATTTTAGATATTTTGCAAAACATAAACTGGCTTACAATAGCCAATTACACTGATCTAGATTTTTTAGTCTTAGTTGTAGAATTTGAACATATGTATTTAAAAAATATATTTTACATACACATCTAAAAATATTTTTTCCAATGAACAGTCACCATAACTTTAAAATATCTTCATATATTCCATACAGTAAGAGAGTCTAAATTGTTAAAGAAATACAAGAACTTCACCAGAAAAAATACCTCAAAATGTTAATTAGAATTCAGAAATCTTGTGGAAAAGAGGAAAGAAAAAATATTCTAAGAAAAGATCAGGCTCAGGGGTTGGGGAGATGGCACAGTTGACTAAGCGCTTGCTTGGCAAGTGCAAGGGCCTGAGTTCAATCCCCAGTTACACACACACACACACACACACACACTGGTGGGCTGCGCTGGCCACACACACACACACACACACACACACACACACACCCACACACCAAATGTTAAAATAAAAAAAAAAAAAAAAAAAAGAAAAGATCAGGCTTATAGCAAGTGTTTGAAGATCATGAATTGGAATTGAAAAACTATAAGAAATGCTTCAAAGATACACAAATCCTGAGGTGGCACTTTATAAAACAAGATTAAGGGAATATTAAAATGCATCAAATAACCTCAAATACAGGTAAAATGAATTCACAAATAATTGTGTAGTTAACAGTAATATTTTTACTTAATAGGAATAAGATTAAGGCAGTCAACTAAACACAAGTATATTTTATATTACCTTTTCCGTATTATTTCCCTATATCCCACCATCAGAAAAGAACAAGCTATACTTCATGCTTATACCACAAGCTATATTTTATGTCCTCTTTTTAGGAATGATTCAATTTAAACGTGTTTACCTATCTAATTCCAAGTTAACAACTTACTAGGAAATCACCGAAAATCACTATTTCCTCTTTTTTAATTACATTTACTCTTTAGATGAGGTTATAATTCTATAAAACTTCAAAATAATTCAACCACATGGAAATATGAACTATCATTCTGTTAGTTTTGAAAATTGAATTTGATTAAAAAGCCCCAAATATGCTTTCAGGTTACACACACACACACACACACACACACAGAGTGAGTCATCCAAAAATGTGTTACGTGTGGTGTGTGGTTGACTTTACATATGGACTCCTCAAATAACTGTACAACAAATTACAATCTTGGGGATTCTGCCAAATATAGGAATGTATTTCAGATATAGGCATATAATTAAATTTAAACGAAGTACTTTTAAATTATGGAATTCTATTAAAGCCATGAATTAACCTATAAAGTTAAGTTCTTTTATGGCTTCAAATAATCCCTAAAATTCTATTTAGCTGTAATGATTTTTGTTTCAAAAAAATAAATATGTAAAAAAGCAGAGAAAAGACAACAAATTAAGGTAATAACATTGGACATCCAAGGAAAATGATCACACAAAAGAACTTTAAAAAAGACAGAAGACTCAATGCCCCATATGTATTACCTAAAAGTATTTATGAAAAGAAACTATACTAACTAAAATAATGAAGTAAAACATCCAAATGTTCCCAGGGACAATCCACTGGATACCCCTCCTGTCCCTCTTTCAGACAGGAGCTTTCTTTCCCCCCGATAAATATATTCTGCTCATTAAAAAAAAAAAAAAAAAAAATCCAAATGTTCACACCGGTTACCAGCAAGGTAATTTTAAAGAACCTTCTTACCTGCTGCTGCAGGAACTCCTCTCCCCTCCGAGGCTGCTTTGGAAGGATGTGTAAGCACCTGCGTGTCTTCCTTTTCTGTCCTGGCACATTCACTATGGTAAGTGGAACCTGGGGCTAGTAGTGGGACAACTTCTGAACCACTACTTAAGTCAAGAGGGAGGCAGGATCCCAGCTTCTCCAGTGGCAAATGCTCAACATCAGGCACTACACAAAACAAAGAGTGTGGCATAATATTAACACAAAGTGGCCCAGTTAATATCAATGTGGAACAGTGGTACATACATTAAACAGTGCCTGGCACAAAGAAGGGACTCAAAATATATTTGGTAATGAGGTGTTTATAACTGTAAAATATGTAAAGAAAAAGCAGAAATTTCTTAATATTCTAATAGTCTATCTCTCAGATTTTTCTTTATCTTCCTTTATGTTTGGTTCTGTAGGAAATCAATATACATTACCCTCTGGTACAGAAGACTCTTGCTGATTCTGAGAACTGATGGAGAATACTTTCCCATCAGTGGCTGGAGCGGGAGAAGAAACCTTTTCTACAGAATCATCAGGCATGGGTAGGGTGGCTAACCGCTGAGACCTTCTTCTCCGCTCACTATGCTTGCAAGGTCTAGGGGGATTCACAGGCTGTGGAGGACCTAGAAAAAGATCTTCAATGTTCACGAAGCAGATACATACCAGGATCATCTTACAATACTTAAGGAGATAAATGGGAAAAATGATTCATATTCTGCCCTCTGATGTTGTTATAAGATATCCACAAGGAATGGCATGTTGAAAAGGCAAAAACTGTGCCCTATTCACAAAAAGAATTAATCAAAAATTCTAAAATCTGAATCCTACTAAAACTAAAAGAAAGTAACATGGAACATTAATTTCAAGCAGCTCCCCCAAATGAGAGATTAAAGTCAATTCTAACTGCAGATCATTGTGTACTTCCATTTTTCCTTTGAGAAGTTTCTTGATAGCAAAATATATCTTTATATATCTACACATATCTATATTCCCCTTTTGCTACATTATAAATCTAGAGTCTAAGGAAAAGAGGAACAAGGAGCATAGGTGACAAAACTCTTACATAGAGTATAGTTAGTTCTCTACTTGCCATAGTAAAAGTAATGCAAATAATTTAATCCCATCTTCATGCTCCCAAACAGATTCTTAAAAGTAATATATCTGGGCCTGATTCATTAAAAAAAAAACTGAACTAAATCAAATTAATTTATTATGGCAAATGATGGAAATTATATAGAGTATGACACTACTCTTACCTTCATGTTACTATTTTTAAAAACTCGTCTTTTAAACATCTTTTACAAAACAAACATTTTTACAGATCTTTTAATTTTTAGATTTCTTGCTGCTTGCATATAAACCTATTTGTTTAGGCAGATTATATAATCAATAAATTCATGTTCATTTAGAAGGAAGAAATGAAAATGTTCTAAAGGTGTTGATATTTTGGTTATTTAAGAGTAACATTACAACATTAAAAAGACATGATAGTAATGGGAAAAAATGAAAGAATAAAACTCAACTGTTATAACACTGTCATTAAAATACCAAGATAGAATACTATTTCAAAATAAAATGTTAACAAATACCATGTGACATTTCAGTCACTGAAGGTATTTCATGATAAATGCCATAATAAAATGAAGTTCATGAGGAAACAATTGAGGTTTTTGTTCCCATCCTTTCTAATCATTTATTAAAATAAAATAAAAACAAAAAAATTGATCAGGAATTTTAAAAGTTAAATAGTATATATGGTAACTGAACCAAAAAGAGTATTTTTGATGGTTTTTCAAGAACAACATCCTTATTGTGGAAGACACAAAAATAATTCTTAAGGAAATGTGTTATAGTCATTTACTGATTACATTACTAATTTACTTGCTATATGAAGAGCATAAGAAAAAGTGCAATTCACCCCACTATTTTTCAAGTAACTGCTTTTCATTTAGCTAACATGAAACATTAACATGAGGAATTTGGAATTGATGTAAGTCTTGTCATATGTATTCAAGCCCATGCGGAAAGGCAATTTTTAAAAACACTAAGTTAACTCTTGAAAGATTAGTAGAGCTGAAACAGTAAAATGTTTAAAATATAATCAAAGAGGTACTCTTTTCTCATTAAGAACACTAAATTCAAGTCTGCATTGCAAACATTATAACAATAAAAGGTAGTGCAGACATTTGTGGACAAGTAGGATACTATGCCTAAGCATAGGGATTGTTAGGAATTAAGTTAAAATATCTAACATGAGTTCTTCTACATGTTTTCCCTTTTATGGGGGAGCTTTTTGTTTTGTTTTGTTTTTTGTAATGAATCAGGCCTCTCATTAAGCTTTATTACTTGAGGAGAGTCCAACTGCATTGGAATTTGTGTCATTACATGGTTAAGGTTTCTCAAGCAGCAGCAGTCTCTGATCAATTCATCAGTAAGAAATGTCCGATTTCTTCCCCTGGAATGTTTCCAGTCTGCCCTATCACAGCCACTTCAGTCTGAGTTTTTAAAAGCAATTTCATAAAAATACAATATAACTACAACCAAACTATCTTAATGTATCTTATAGGATTAAGGAACTATTTTTTAAAAATCTGTGCTCACTAGTTTTATTTATCACTGAAGAAGAAAGCTGAGATACAAGCGTCAAATCCTCGATTTGTATTAATTCTGGGGAAAGTGGTGATTTAGGGGGTTTTATACACCCAGAAGAATCTCCAGATTCATGTTTGCATTTCTTGCTGCGAGCCTTCCCTGAAGACAAAGTTGAGGATAACAGTGCAGGTTTCTGAGTGTTGGCAGAACTGCTAATGTCAGCTTCATTTTTTTTCTGACTTTGAGGTTTAGGTGAAATCGCCTGAATAAATAATAAAAAATTGATATTTTTATTTTGGTTTCTTCATTTTTGCTCTTGTATTCTATTTTGATTGTTAAGCAACTTTAGTATCCAAAACATTGTTAAGCAACATATAACATTTCTATTACAAATGAAAAACCAAAAACAACCCCACAAATTATTAACTAAAAGTTGAATAGGTTGTCTTTAAAGGGATACTGTCATCTTTCAGTCTAGTATTTTTAATACATTATTTAAAATATTCTCAGAATATAAAATATCATACTAAACATATATTTAAAGTATTGAGATATATCTCCTTTGCAATGAAAATTCACAAACAATAATTATTGAGTACACAGCAGCATTATCATGATACTGAGCATTAGAGGAATATTCTTATAAAACAATTTCCTTTATCAAGCTGAATATGGACATTTCCCATAAGTAGACAGTTTCTCTTTAAAGAAACATCTCAACAGGAAAACAATGACCAACTTAACGAAACATCTTTAACTCATTTTAGTGCTGAAAGCTAGAGTTTCATAAGCATAATGCATCATGAAATCAGAGCTACCAGCAATAGAGAGTTAAAAGACTAAAAAACAATACAAAACAAGCAACAAAAAAGAAAAACCAAAGAGATAAACTGTAAGTTAAAAACATTGGATTTAAAACAAAATACGTCGCATTCTAAAATGAGAATTTTTACCTTCTTCCTGCCAACTGATACTTTTAAAAAAAATTAGAACTTTGTCAGTTCTTTCATAAAGTACATTTTTATTCACTTGGCAGTAAAAATATCCTACATATGTAAAATTATGGGTGCATGTGTCTACTGCTCAAAGACAACAGAGAATAGCCACATTGGATAGGCTTGCAATCTATCATGCTGGAAGTTTTATACTGTACCTCATCTCTCTCAGATATATGTATCTGAGAGAAAAATACCCACATATTGAAAAATTTATGATAGGCAACTCTAACAAGTCAAACTGCTAGCACTATGAAGAACGTACTTGTTCTCAAGAGAACTTTTAATTTTCATATTTTTTGAAGAATGACCACCGAATCTGCAGACTGATGTTCTTGAATATGAAAGATCACTGTGTGGAGACCAAATAAAAAATTGTTTCTCCTCAAGGAAAAGGCCCTCAAATTCTGGTAGGGAAAAAGGTATATATGTGCTATTGAACAGGGCCCTGCTGAGTGCCCTGAAGATGGCATGCTGGACACACCACATAGAAGGTATGGATGCCCCATTCATTTTGTGCTCATTTCTACTTCTTCATTTACTTGCTATATATATACATATATATATATATGTATAAGTGCTACTAATCATTTGAAAAAGTACTCCATAAGTGGAAAGTAGTCCTAAACTTGTCATAAAAGATGTTGCCAGGAAAGTAATTAGAGCCATTACTTGTAAATAAACAATTTTATTGTTCATCTTCACATGTGTGAAAGACATCACTACAGCATTCATTACTCTTAAGTTACAAAGTTATAAAACAAAATTTTAAGGTTAAATTGATCTTGATAAGGTGCTTAACTTCTAAACAAGGACAAATTAAACATTTTTAAAAACTTACTGATTATGCATCTAATGCAAGTTTTATCCAAAAGTAAATGTAACATGACATTTCCCTAATACAATTAAATAATCTATAGTTAATAATGTGAGAATGAGGTTCAAGACCACATAGTTTGAATCTTTTAAAAAATATAAATGAAATAAATCCATTAGCACAGTAAGTTTTGGCTATAGGCCTGCTATCAACTTATGTCATAAGTGAACTTATTCTAAATCATTAGGACAATAAGAGTGAATGACAATCAATACTTCTCTTTCAAATTTATTCTTGATAACCAAGTGAGATGTAATTAAGAGCTTTATAACTCGGCTTTTTTACTCTTAAGCAAGGCCAAGATGTAGCATAAAAATTAACAGTTTGTTTACAAAACATTTTCACGCTGAAGTCAACCTGAATGACAAGTAAAAAATGAGGAACATCATAATGTTCCTTATGATCTAAATAACTTACAACATTTTCATTAACGATTATTGGTCCCTGTTACAAAACTGGCAAGTACTCTCAAAAAAAGGTTTCAATTATGCATAAACTGCCGAGTTATTCCATTTTCCTTCTTTTTAACTCAGTTTCAAATTGTCATTTTCTGTACTTCTCTCTCAAATGGGTACTATCTATACTAACTTCCACAAACAATAATTTTCATAACACATTCACCTCACAAGACTGTGTGTAATGAAAGATTGACATTGTAATGAATTTTCCAGAAACATTTTATTACCCAAGTCCCTGATGTATTGCATTCTGAGAATATCGTAACAGTGGCAATAGTACAAAATATTGTTATATCTGGGACAATAAATATAATAATACAGAGTAAAAAAGTCATTTGAAATTTGGTTGATATACTGACAATAACGGCAAGGACTTAACCGTTTGATGACAACAAAAAAATCAGAAGGTATGAGTTATTGACATATAAATCAATTTAAAAGATTTAATACAACATGAATGGAGGCACCAAAACAATGCACTGTTATTAAATCAGGCCTAAAATAACCTGAAAAACTCAATACAATATCAATTAAATTTGGACTATTCTTTAAAATGCATTTAGAGAAGAGCAAAAAGATACTCATCCTAAAGTCTTCTTTATTAGGCTACTAATAAAGAAAATTAAAATAATACAAAAAGGATATATTAAAACTACATTAAGGCTCAGATTTTAAAACAGGAGAATCACGGAAATCCAGTTATGGCTATTACTGTTTTCTTACAGTCTTACAGTGCCTAAGAAGTTAAGCCCTTAGAGAATGTAAAAGCATGCACAGTTCATTATGTACAGGTATTGTGAGAATCTGAAGGTAGCCAAGGCAAAATCTAGCAACTGCAACCTTCACTTTAAATTCCTGTTAGGTGGTTCAAAGACAGACCCTTAATAGTTTCTAAACTCTCTTTTTTATTGTAGTTATTAAAATATACATCCTAGCAAAAAAGTATGGCTCATTGATCAGTTCATAAAACACATAGTCTAACAACACCAATTATACAATATAAAAGAAACTTCTTACAAAAGAAGCTTTATTTGATGTCAAAAAACCCTGTTTTAACTCACAAATGAAAAGTATTTGTGGAAGGGTCTTTTTGTAAGCTAGTTAATGGTGATCCAGCTGAAGTGTATACCCTGGGATGCCTGTCTTCAGGCCTTCAAAATTTGGACACAAAGGCTTTAATGTCAGTCTACTGAAAACAAACACTCATCAAGTCTGTAGTTTATCTGTATACCCTGAAGAAGACAGAGTTAAAAATATATCATCAATTAGCTTCCTATTCCCGTATCTGAGCAAAAGGGTAATTTCAATTACGTAGATACTACAGCTCCATGATCATTCCAGTGGGAACCCTGAAAAAAATCAAATGCTACCATTTCATACCTGCTCCAGCATTGGAGCTGTTTCTTTGTAGTCTTCTTTGTTTTCAGCACCATCCACCCCAACTGCTTTGGATGCCAACAAACCTTGAGAAAAATTGTACAGAAACGGCTTATTAGAAAAAATACCGATACCACCCTCATCAACTTTCCAAAGCTTGCAGCAGTTGAAAATCTCATTACTTTTTAATACATAATAAAAATTTTCAAATGCTCACTTTTCAAAAATACAAACAACCTTAATAAGTCAAGGCACTGAATCAGAACTTCAGTGTTCACATAGCTATGTGGGGTTTTAAAAATATTACTCTTAAGATTTTCTTTTTCTGTAAAAATTTAAAATTCTGTGATTCAAAAAGTCCAGATTAACTGCTTAGATTGCTGACACTCATAAGATGTATTAAGGCAAAAATACATTTTATTTTATTTTATTGTTAGCTAAAATATGCTCCTAGGTTTTAAATTTCATTTAGATCATTTGCTCTAAGCTTTGTGTGCTCATCTCCATTTTCAGTTATACCTTATCTTCTCACCAAAGTTCCAAAAACATCAGTGGATACATTTTACGTTAATACGAAAAAAGCAGGGGTCCTTACTAGCACATCTTAACTTAGAGCTTCTATCTACATACAATGAAAAAATTTGGAAGTTTGTTTTCTCCAACACATATCCCTAATTTTCAACTTTAGAAAACAATATTTTATTTGGAACACATATAATTTCACAAAAACAAAAGGCTGTTTTAATTAATAATTTAAAAATATTTACTTGGTTAAAATTCCTTGCTAAATTTGTCAGTATCATCAATAAAGTCAGTATTATCAGCACTGCACAACAAGTATTGATTTTGTTCATGGCCACCATGCTTATAAAGGCCATCAGAAAGAAAAAAAAAAAATCACCTGGCCACATAAAATCTTTGCTTCACAGGTAGCATGGTAACAACTAGCAATATAATAAAACTGTCTGAGCAATTACACTCCCTTTTATTTCATAGAAGGAAAAAAAGGGACCCTCAAATACTACATTCCATTGAGCTATCTACAGGCATCATGTTTTCACTCAGTGGGAATACATACATTAAAATTATTTTTAAAGTAGTACTAGAGCCAAATGTTTAATTAAGCAAAAGTACCATTCCTTTATTGGAAAGTTGAACATCATGAGCTTAGACTAAAACAAACAAACAAAAAGACCAGTGTAAAAAAACAACTTTGATACACCAATGACCGGTATTAACAAATGTACCTGCCCCAGTTTGAGAAAGCAATTTACATGGTTTGTTCCTGTTTCATACCTCATATAGTACAGGAAAAAGAAATATATAAATAACTTAAATGCTTTTAAATAATTTCAACGCTACTTATATCCCAACCATGTTTTTACATAATTAAAGCAAGATACAGCATGGGATATTTCAATATTTAAAACTGTATTAACTAGGTTTTTCTTCTATAGCTAGAATTCTTGAGAATCTATAAATGACTAATAAAAAAATGAAAGAATCAAGTTCTTTTGCAAGGAAATGAGTAGCGGATCTATTTCTAAGGGTTAGTCAAACAAGACAGGTATTTGCTATTCAATATGTTAAATACTTGTATCTTCTATTTTGTTTCCTTCCATAAAGGTGGTAGAAATAGATTTTAATGTTCATCAGCGGACATCATGGACCAAAAAATATAAAATGGAAAGTATCACAAGTATGAAACCAAATAATTCAGTCATAACTTGTGAATTTACATTAGGATATTACAGAATCAATTCATGAAAAGCAATTCCCATGGAATATTTTGGGAAATGATAACCTTGTGTTGTGCTCATAGAAAATAATTAAGCATTTAAGAAAAACTATTTAAAAATACAATATTTGGTCTCTAGAGAATTCAAAAGCCTGAATTTTTTGGGGGGGTGGCAGTAATGGGGATTGAACTCAAGACCCTATGCTGGCCAGGCAGGTACTTATTCTTCTGAGCTATCTCCCCAGCCCTAAAATATGAAATATGGTCAATAAAATTTTGTATACTTTATATGCATGGCAACTATAAATTTATTAAATAAAAATAACAAAAGTAGACAGATAATGAAACAAGTACTTCAAAAAAGGGCTCTACTTATGTCTTAAAGGGCAGTCGAAAATCTGTTATCTAAGCCTGCTAACATTCTAGGAAAAGAACGTAAAATCTATATAAAATAAGAGGGCATTATTAAAGTGAAATAGAAACAAAGATAATTTTAATTATTTACAAATGCTTTTTAAAATATATTATAAATAGGCCCTCCTTGAAGACTATCCTAAAAGAATATATTATACAGCTTTAAGAGATCAGTGGTACTCTGGTCACAAACACTTCTGTTTGCAAACAATTTGTTTCCCCAACAAGCACTTGGCAAAGTTTTATTTCTGTTTTCAAATTCTGCATCAAATAAAAAGATAGTGGCCACTTTTCCTGCATGAACACAGACATGGTCATCTTTTCCAGAATTGTGGAACAATAAACCGAGGTACCACTGTATTTAAACATAAATTAGGAGATATCAAATACACAGTCCTATCCATAAACAAAATTACAACCTCAAAAAACTCCATCTAAATATAAAACACAGCCTTTTCTCCCTGCCAGCAGGAATAAACAGAAGGGCTAGAACTCTCTAAATGCTATGAGGAACACAGAAAGAGCCAAGAGGATCAACTGTTCTATGTCTCACCCAGGCAATTCAAAACACTTGTTTCGCTGGAGCCAATAATCAAGTATCTTTGACATTACAATCAATAACATAGTACTAATCAGTTCAAATCCCAGATTTTTAAAAATACAGTAAAAAATTCTTTAAATTGCAAATACCTATCTAAACAGGTAGAATGTCCAGAAACTCCTAGGAACAATTAGAAATACATCACTAAATGTTACTATTTCTTCTTTTACCCCTTAACAATTTCTATTTTAAAATTTACTCTCAATTCGCTTGCAATTTTGTTCCAAATGTATTGACTCCTGATTTTCTATACAAAATTGTTTTCCTTGTTTATTTGTTTTGGTTTTTTGAGACAGAGTCTAGCTCTGTAGTGCAGGTCCAGGACTTCAACTACATAGCCCAGGCTAGCCTCAAATGCTCTCATCTTCCTGCCTCTTCCTCCTGAGTACTAGAATTACAGAAGTGCATCACTGTGCCTGTTGTTTGTTTTTGAGACAAGGTCTCAATTCAGCTGATCTTGAAATAACTACACAGCCCAGGATAGCCTCACACTTGCAGTGATTCTCCTACCTCAGCTTCCCAGTGCTAAAAATACAGGGAAGGGCCTCCAAGCCCAGAAAAACTGTATTTTGAAGCAGTATGCAAAGAGTATATGACTTGACCACCAAGAAAGTATATTATATAATGAAAAATAAGACGCTGAAAGTGCAACTATGTACTTCCAATGTCTATCTGGAAACTCAGAAACCCAAGCTTACACTACCAAAATCATGGCTAGAATCACTATAATAAGGTATTTATATGATGAACATATGAATATATACAGAATTAAACTTATCCAGTAACAGATCCACTTATTTTCAGGTAGAACATTCTTAAAAATTAAAATAAAACACAGTGGGTGAGTATATCAAAGCAAGATATCATGATCCTAAGCCCCATTCTTCTCAGTATTCATGGAACATAAAGACATATATAATTAGGTGAGCCTGATAAATCTGAAATCTACCATCATTTCAACAGAAGTAGTTATTAGTTCTCATCAATATTTATGGACCATAAGTGAAATTTATTGTACAGAGGCAAGCTCAAGTTTCAACCAAGACAATCTTAACAATATCTATTGTCTTTTTGCATTACACAGTTGTAACATAAAATCCAAAGCAGATACAGAGATATGTTCCTCAAAGGATTACCATATACTGAACTCTTCTAAGTAAATAAAGGGGAACCACCATAATGGATTAATATTCATAAAACCTTAAGCATTGCTGCTGTTGCCAAACAATCATATTTGAAATTCCCAGAGAAATGTGACAAGAAGTCCCTCCACAGAAGCCATGGCATTACTAAGCAACCAGGATTGTAACTTGATGTGCCCCGAGTGGTTCTAGTGTTCCCCACTACTGTCTTTCCAAGGCCACACAAAGACAATGTATCACAAGGGACTCAAGTTTTCTTTAATTTAAATGTTGCGCTTGAACTTGAACCTTCCAGTAAGCCATGTAAGAGCAGGCATATGTATATATTGACTAAAGCTAAAAGCAGAGCATGTTATCCAGACCGAAGGAAAAAAGCATGATGCAGGTAAGCTGGCAGTCATACTGCGTCAGTGTCGCCTCCATCTTTCTTGATCTTGACTCCTTCAACAATGCTGTTTCAATCTTTCAATCCGGGAGTCAGAAGAACTATTCCATTTCTGTCCTGCATGTAGCACTGGGGTCCGCACTTTAAGGCAAAACTGAAGTCTTAGGCTGCCACAAGTACAATCTCTTAGGGAACATTTTGGTTCTCTGCAACACTAATACTTTCTAAAGAAACGGTTTAATGTTTGAAATGATTTCAAATATTTCCTGTTTGGGGGACAAATATTCCTTTATCAGAGGAAAGCATGAAAATAATATGAACAAATGGAAACACAGTGAATATTCTCACCTGCTGAAAACAATTATGATCACTTAAACAATATAAAGTAAGAGTGGTTCTTAACCCTCAGCTTGAGGGGTGTAGCAGTAAGTTTCTTCTCTTCAAAAATTGTGGAAACATGTAATTTATGTTTATTCCTACATTTGAAAATAAAAACCAAGGTCCTTCAAAAGATTTTAAATGAATGCCACAAAGGTTTACATAGCTTTATTAGGCCAAAGGTGGTATTAAAAAAAAAAAAAAAATTGCCCTCAGAAAAGAATGTATAACTGAATCATTAAAATTTCAACTCCCCTTTAACAGACACTAAAAAAAAGTCATGTTCACAGTTTCTTTAAGATCAGGTAAGTGAGCCTAATAGGCCTGGAAGTGCAGGGCCGAGGACGAATGGTCCTAATCCCAGTACTCCCAGCCCCTCTGTGTGCACACTGAACGGTCTAGAACTGTCGATGTGCTCCGTCACCCCAGCACTGCTCCATCCCAGGCTACAAGCAGGAAATAATCTGACTCAGATGTCCATCTCTCCAAACATACACTGTTCCATTCTTAAGTGAGTATGAAACCCTCCATTCACCCCCAAAAAGAATCATTGCAGATTACCAGTAATCTTGTTAAGTCGAGCTCTCTTTGCCTGAAATGAGTTGCCTTGATTATTTTTCCTCTTGTTTGATAATGTGCTCTCTGACTGTGGAAAGACCATCTTTGGAATGTTCTCTACATGAAGTCCTACTTTTAACAGAACAAATATATGAGAGTTTATCTAGAATCAAAAATTAAAACACACAAGTTTTAAAAAAACAATGAACCAATAAAAAATGACTTACATACTTTTTCATTTAGTGCTTGATTAGAACTGAAACACAAATCTCTCTAGATTGAGATATCAGAAATGAAACTAATTTTATATTTTTAATTTAAAAAATAATTTTTTGATTCAGGGTCTCATATACCCTGGGTCAATCCTGAAATCTCAAACCCACATCAGCATCACAAGTACTGAGACTATAGGTATGCACTATGAAGCCCAGCTTCAAGCAGTAATTCTTTAAGAAAAAAAAGCAAGGTATGAATAACTTAGTGCTTAGTTCCATACAACAAAGATATGTATGCAGACCATCTAAAAAGTTAAAGAAAAAAATACAAATAAAACAAAAAGCCTCATTAAAAACTTATTACCAAGAATTTGCAAATCAAAATTACAACTAATTTCTTTTCAATAATATTAACAGCATCTAACATTTAAAATTGATACAGTTAATCTTCAGATCTATTTGTAAAATGCTAATAAAGTTAGCCGTTCTATTATGCTAGGTAAAAAAGCCTAAAAATTTAATAAGCATGATATTATAGGTGGCCAAGAGATTCAACTTATTTACTACATGAGTTTACCAGTGTCAAAAGGAAGGAAAACAAGAATGTGCTTTATACCAAATGTTTCACTAGATGTTGGAAGATCTTCCTTCTTTTCAACTTCTGGTGTGGCTATATGAGTTGAGGTTTCTTCCTTCTTTGAAGTTACTTTAAACCATTTTCTCTCCTCTTTCTCTTTATCTTTATTGCTGTTAGCACTGGTTCGAGGCTTACTCCCTGTTTTATTCTTGGCTGCAGCTGCAGCAGCTGCTTTGACTAAAGCTATCCAATCCTCCAAAGGAAAAACAAAAAAAAAGGTAATGTATTAAAAGTTTATCACAAAGTAATGAATAAAAATATGTATCACATTTCCAAAACTATGTTCACATACAACCAGTTGTAAAAATGGAATTAACTATATTTATATGACAGATCACAGACACAGATGATCAAATAATCTAATAGGCTAAACGGATTCCATAAAATAGGAAATTATTCAAAAGCTTATATTCTTTTGACATCTTTTCACAGCAATGGAATCCAAAGTAGAAGAATATATACAGCAAACATGAAACTCTACATTAGTATTTTAGAACTTAAATGCAACATCATCTTTTTTCTCTTAATTCAAGGAACCATGAAAAAGAAATGCTTACATTGCAATCCTGTGAAAATTAAGGAAATACATTCCCAGTGACGAAATTATTCCTTATTACTGGAAGAATTTTTTTTTTTTTTTTTTTTGTGGAACCAGGGATTAAACTCAGACCCTTGTGCTTGCCAAGGAAGCGCTTATTCTACTGAGCCATCTCCCCAGCCCATTTAAATCACCATTAATTTCATGGAAATTAAAGTATCTTCTAAGCCTTTTAAAGTTTATCATCAATTTATCACAGTAGCTTTATATTATTAATGAAGGAAAAAAAGCTACATGACTTAACCAAGTTAAAGCACACACTATCAGTCTCCAGAGTAATCTCTCTTCCTCTTGCACTACTTTCTGCTGATGTGTTAGATTTTTCTCAGATGGAAATATTTCTTTTTCCCTTAAGTTTATATTTGATGCTAAATATATGTTTCACTTTAACTAAAAATTTATTGCAAAATATAAAGTTGTACAACAGTGTAAAGTGATATTTATCTTTTAATTTTCACAATCAAAAAGGGATTTTTTTAAAACAAGTATTTGTAATATCTACATGGAATTAATTTCTCACCAAGACCACTAAGCTCTATCATAAGACCAGATTCATCTAAATTCATCTAAAATATAGAAGATATTAAACTACTAACCTAAGGAAGTGAAACAATTTTTAGGCCAATAAATTTAATTCATTTAATATATAATCACCACAGGCAAACAAAATTAAATAAAAAACAGATGGCTATTAACCCTTGAAAATACATAAGAGAAGATAAATGAGCCATTATAAAAACAAGTCTCTCTCTCCTGGCTATGATGAAAATACACTGGAAACATCATGCCATTGTACCTAATGTATCCATTCACAAATTTTCTATTGAATACACTCCTACATGACCCAGGCACCATCGCTAGGTATTCAAGAGATGACAGGTAATAAAATAAGGACTGATCCTACCTAATCAAAACTCACAGAAAATGTAAACTGACCATCAGGAAATGTGCCATGCATACAGTGAAGGAATAAACAAAATACCATGGGCCAAAAGAAGCAACTAATCTGTGACTTTAGAGAAGGATTAGAGGAGTATACCAGGGAAAACAGCCTTTAAAAGTAGAAAATGGGCTTTCTGAGCAACAGAAGCAACATTTTAAATCAGGCATGGAAGTCAGAGTGCACAGGAAAAGGAATGAGGGATGCAAGCTCTAGGAACAGGATAAGAGGCTAAATGCATTATAGCAAAGTTGAGTCTCGGGACTTAACAGTCAAACAGCAAGGAAACAAGTACTACCAAGAGAAAAATGGAGAGAGAACAATCAATGAAGCAGAAAACAGCAAATAAACTAAGTACACCCAACTAGAAAAGTAATGTTTAATGTAGCAGAAAGGATATGTTTACTGATGTACTGAAAGCATAACATTTAATCTAGGTTCCATACTGAGGGGAAATTTTTCAGTGCTTAAAGTCATGTTGAAAAATGTCAGGAGTTATTTTCATCTCCAAGATGTTTTCTACCTCCAATAAGGAGACAAATAGAAAAAAGAAAATCATACTGCAACTTTCAACATTTATTAAAAAACTTATTGATTATATGATTTATTAATTGTGGGAATCACTATAGCCATATCATAAAAGAATTTCTCCCAGGGCTTGAGGAGATTGCTCGGTGATCTAAGTGCCTTCCTGGTAAGCACAAGGACCCAGGTTTGATCCCCAAAACCATATGCCATGCTGGCCCTGGGCCAGCCACTGAAACTGGGCATGGTACTGCACATTTGTAATCCCAGTTCTGGGGAGGCTGAGACAGGAGAATCACTACGAGTTCATGATGCACAGCGAGATCCTACACCAAATGAAGGAAGGAAGAAGGAAGAAGGAAGAAGGAAGCAGGAGAGGAGGAGAAGGGGAAGGGGAAAGGAAAGGGGAAGGGGAAAGGGAAGGGGAAGGGGAAGG